AAGATCTATATACACCCAGATACCTGCACGATTTGTTTCACCTGTGGTCACTTACAGTATCATTTGGAAACACCGTTTACTGTTTTGTTCACCTACAACATTCTATTTTTGGACTTTTGTTTTTTGTGTGTACCATTATTATGGTTATTTATATTTTTTCACTTCACAATATGCACGTGTGATTTAATTCAGTTTTGTGTCTTTCATCTTTTTGGGTGATTTATTTGATATTTTGATTATCAGTAAGCACGTATAGATTTATATAGTCATTATTATTGTCACAATTTTGATTTGAGATGTTGGATTCCACATTCACATAAATTAGTTTGAATGTAGCGCAGCATTGGTTTTGGTTTATAATCAATTTTTTTTTTTTCAATTACAGCTGGTGGTTTCCTTTGTTAGTGACTATTATGTATTACCAATACTGAACAGAGTGATTACCTTAAACTGGTCATACATTTTATTTATTTCAGGTACTTATATAGCTCTGTCAATTTACGCAGTGCTTTACATGTATTATACATTCACATCAATCTCTACTCTCAAGGAGCTTATAATCTAAGGTCCCTAACTCACATTCATACATACATAAATACATATACTAGGGCCAATTTAGACAGGAGCCAATTAATCTACCAACATGTCTTTGGAGTGTGGGAGACAACCAGATGAAACACACAAAGGCACAGGGAGGATATGCAAACTCCAGGAAGGTGGTGTCATGGTTAGGATTCGAGCTGATGACCCTAGTGCTGCCAGGCAGAAGTGCTAACCACTTAGTCACTGTGCTGCCCACATGGGTTGAAATTCGACCTGTTCAGCAGGAACTGGCTAAATTTGCATCCCGGTATGGCCTCTCTTGTTCATGAGTAGTCTATTCATTGATTGACTTCTGAAGAACTGTCCTGCTGGAAACTTTTTGCTCATTCAGTGCATTTAGCCAATGGACTGCAGTGCTGATCAGTGAATTCTGATAGCGGAGGAGTCCCACTGTCAGAATACAATGACACAGCAGAGAGGATTTTTGCATCCCCATCAAATGTGTGGATGGAAGAATCGGTACAGTTTTCTTCATTCAGACAGCTGTCTGGATGAATAAAACTGTACCATTTATGGCCAGCTTTAGACTGGCAGTTGGATGGATTATTATCACAGCAATTCTCTCCTTGTCTGCTGGCAAGATGGTTATGCTTGGATTCCTGTAAATGATATAAGAACCTTCTTTTTGGGGGTACAGTTGGAAGAAGATTCTTTGCATATACAGGAGAACATCAGAGTAGCAGTTCATCACTTGAAGCTTGATAAAACTTGGGTGATACAACAACAAGCCAATAACCTGTAATTCAGGTGTATATGATGCAGGGCATCATGTTCTTCTTTGACACCAAATATAAGAAAAGGGGGAGACTGGAGAATAATGGTGTACAAAATTTTAGTACTGTGACTACAGTATATGGCACTCTTCTACAAATATTGGTGTAATAATGAATAGTCATCGTACCACCAATAAATTGAGAGGGGGTGTTGACAAGTGCTTTATATCCAGAGATATCAGGAGAAGCTGAGGACCAAGGTTTTAAATACTGATGTAGGCTAATGAATTCCTAACTTGATACATGCTGTGGAACTATTATCACTCCATGTACATGTTTCTTATAGTACATTATCTTGGTGATGTTACCATGTACAGTATTACATCTTAGTTTTTCTTGATAAGCAATTCTTTTAACTTCATATTAACAAATACGCACTGTCAAAGATCCTGAGGTCTTGTACTCAACCCAAAAAATAAAATAGAATCCATCCCTTACAAAAACTCCTAAGAATCTGACTGTAGGCCATTATATTACCAATTTAACACTGTTGTATTCTATAGTAATATTATTATTAGTAGTAATCATAATAGATGTAGAAATAGCAGTAGTAGTGATATTAAAATGTATCAAAAGCCCAAATCAAAAATGTATTTCCCTTTTACCAATTCCTAGATGTGGTGGTGGTGGCATTTTTGCCTTTATTTTAAGCTATTACTCGAAGCAGTATGTCTGTAATTTTTTTACTTTGTTTAACAGATTAAACTGTCCAGTAAAAGTGTAATGCAGGCCATTCATGAGTCGAATTCCAAATGATTTCCCTATCGAAAATCTGATTGTGCCACCATTGATTTTGAAATTTGACCAACCAAGCCTTCGATTTTACCTCATGCCTGGGAATCTTCTTTTTTTTTTCCAGGTCACAGCTCATGCGCATTTCTTTTTTGATTATATTTCTCTCACAATTCTCCCATCATTGATTGTTATTATTATTATTATACAGGATTTATATAGCACCAACAGTTTGCTCAGCACTTTACAATATAACGGGAGACAATACAGTAACAATACAGTTTAATACAAGAGGGATAGGAGGGCCCTGCTCCTTGGAGCTTACAATCTAGGATTAGAAATTCGTTCATTTTTAAAAAAAATTCCAACATGCCAGATCACTCTATTTGGATGGCCACATGAAAATTGGCCCTTGATGCAGCCCCACTAAGAGCCAAAATTCGAACGATAATTAAAAATTACGATTTTCAACAGTAAAATATTTGGATTTCGACCCATGTATGACCAGCCTAAGTAAGAGGGTTGAAAACAGCCATTTAAAACTGTCAGAGGTGCTTACAATGGTCACCCTTTTAAAAATAAAAAAAGATGTTTCTGTAACTACTTATAAAGTGTTCGCAAGAGTTCAGCTTTTACTTGTTATTCATTTATGTGAAGTCCATATAAAGCTACTAGGCCATCTAACACTACCCTCTCCAGACCTAAGACTACCTTCACATTCTGGATGTATTATTGAATTTACATATACTGTATTTGATTGTATTTATTTATTCACTATCACTTTAAGGGTGGAAAAATTGGAAGCACTGAGGTACAAAGCGCAACAGTTTTTTGGTGTATAATCAGTATGCAGTCAGGCAGACTACACAAAGAACAGTTCTTCCACTGAGCTGTGACTCCCACCCTGCTAAAGTAATACTATAGAGAAAGTGCTTCTCCCTCACTGTTTCTGGTGAAAGTTCCAGCTTGCGCCACCAGAAAAAAAATCACAGGCTGTTACGATACAGTAAGTTAACAACTTGTTGGTTGGGGCCCGGGCCCCTCGGGATGCCTGGTGCTCTACATATGTATAGGCTGTCCTCCTCTGATGGCAGCCCTGATCACCAGGTAAAAATAATGGAAAAAAATGCCTAAAACAGACAACTAATGTAGTCACCACATGTAAGGATTTGCAAGCTACAATATATAAAATGTTTGTTTTTGGGTTTACGCATTATTTTATATTTATTAAAACACTCATGAAAAGGAAACATTATCATTCAGAATATTAAGTACCTTAATGAAGGTTAATATTACACGTTATGGAATTTACTGATCTACTGGTAAAATCTTGCAATAAATCTTAAGTTGTTTATCATAACATTTTTCTCTGCAAAAGTACTCCTGTCATAAATTTGTCTATAACATTAATGTGAGCAGAAAAATAAATGAGTAGCTGTGTGATTTAAAGCACTTGTGATTAGCTGAGCAGCACAAAAAATATGAAACTGCCGAGATAAAACTTTTATTATATGAAACCAAATTACATTAATTACAAAATCCTCAAAGACTGCAGTGTGTAATTTGATTTAGATGAACAGTGTATTATTCACTTCTTCTAAAGCACTGTTCCACATTGTTTGGTAATTTGCTATCTTACTATTATGCAATTACATTAATCTTTTTTTTTTCTTTTTAATACAGCTTCAAAAATTTGTAGAAAGGTGTGCAATATTTTACTAACAAGTAAATATAAAGTATTTCAATAAAGATAGCAAAAAATTATTTTGTAACATAAAGTTACTTGGTAGGATTGTATATCATATAGTATTTTATCTATACCATTCAATGTCCTGTATGTAGATGTTCACTAAAACTTAAAATATTTAAGGATGTGCTAACTTGTGTGATAGGTCATGAAATATATTCGTTTGTATTATGATTGGCAATGAATGTTCTCCTTGTTAAAACAGGGTAGACTATACAGTTAACGTGTTTATATTACATGCCTAGATTCCGTCACAGGTCTACAGTCTTCCCTATTTTCCAGGGTTGAGAGCAGTTACAGTTTGGTTGTAGTTGTTCAACAGTTACTACTAGGGTATGTATCTTCTTGGATTGCTATCGGACATGCTGTGATTTTCTTCAAAGATATGTTCAACATCTCAGCAAAGACTTGTATCAGGATCCACTTTGCTCTACCTTTGTCACCCCCAGCATGGTTGGGAAATCATCTATACCCATAAAGTCCAGAAATTCTACAGTCAAACTTCAGGAGGAGAGAATAACTCTTTGTTAATATGTGGAGGAGTCATCGGCAAGAAGAGTTTTCTAATTTCCCTAAAAAAATTCTCTTTAATTATTTTAATAGATAATTTTACCATATATCAAACAAAGGGTCGCTCTCAAGTAGTGTCACTTCCTTCAGCAAACTTTATCAACCACTTGCCCTCCAGAGGATTTACCCCCCTTCCTGACTAGGCCATTTTTTACTTTACGGCCCTGCGTTACTTTGACAATTGCACAGTCATGCAAATCTGCACCCAGATGAAAATTACGACTTTTTTCCCAAGAATTGAGCTTTCTTTTGGTGGTATTTGATCACCTGTGCTTTTTAATTTTTTGCGCTATAAAAAAAAAAAAGGCCGACAAATTTTGAGAAAAGAACTATATTTTTGACCTTTTGCTATTAAACATGTCCAGTAAAAAAATTTAAAAAATCAAATTTCATCATAAATTTAGTCCAAAATGCATTCTGCTACATGTCTTTGCTTAAAAAAAATCCCAATACATTTAAATTAATTGGTTTACATGAAAGTTATAGCATTTACAAATGCCGGTATATATACTGGGCTTTATTTTTTTTACTAGTAATGGCGGCGAACAGTGACTTATAGCTGGACTGTGGGACTGCGGGACTGCGGCGGGCATTGTGACACTGGGGGGAACTGATGTGGTGTCACTGACATCCTCAGTGACACCAGTACAGTGATCAGTGCTAATAAAAAGCACTGACACTGTACTAATGGCACTGGGCAGGAGGGGGTTAACATGAGTTGCTATCAAAGAGTTATCTGTGTGCTGTTTTACATGATGTTGTGTTTGTGCTTCACTGCAAGCACATTGCTTTGCATGGCTGTGCTCTGCATAGGAGCTGACAGGTAGGAGAACTGTTTTGTTTACTAACAGTTTCCCTCCTCATTGGAGATCCTCGGCAATCACTGGGCACCGGCGAGTAATCACCTTCCGGGACTTGGTGATTGAAAGCCGCGACCCCCTACCTGGAAATGCAAAATCACGTTTTTATTATATATATATATATATATATATATATATTTTACGATTTTACGCACCGCTACCGCCCTGTAGAATTATTTCTGCTACGGGGTGGCGCTAAAGCGGTTAAGCAAGCAGCACATATTTCACCCTACTGGGCTTAGTCATGGATATACAGTACTTATGACATTAGACTATAGTAATTTATTGGCTGAGATAAGTAAAAGTGGCTATAGACATGAGATGGTCTTTGCCAAATCATGCTGCTTTTGGCTGTATTGAGCAGCAAGCCATGTGAAGTGTTTGGCTGTTAGCAAAGCATGGCAGATAACCTAAGTTGACTGACTGTGAAAGGTATGCTTAGTATTTTTTATATTTTTTTATATATATTCTTTATTTTTATGCTCAGGACTAATACAATTGTTTCATATGTTAGCTATGAAAATATGAATAATGCATATGAATATTTCACACTTAGATTTTCAACTGGAAGGTAGGGCTTTATGCTTCTGTTCACTTTTTTTAACTGTCTGTTTTTAGTGTGTTGGAAAAAAAACAATAGGTTTGGACCCAATAGGCCAAGCTCAAGTACTGTATACATACACACACACTTACACTTGAAAGATGTGCTCTAATAGACCATCTGGAGATGAAAAAAGAGAAAACTCGAAGGCATACAGTTTATGCAGTACCCACCCTTTAGAATGCCAAGCTAAGCTGACATTAGAAGTAGCTTGGTAGTTTATCTTCAAAGGTATTAACATGCCTACTCAGGCAGTTGGAACATACATGTTTTCTGCAGAAAACCCTTGTCTAGTGAGACCATGATTTAAAAAGTCCTTTTTTGCCCACTTATGCATTCATTAGAAATGACTGAATTTATTTTTATTTCACATACACTTAGCATAAGTATCTGAATTCTTGATATCAGCCCTGAAATTCTACAACAGAACTCATGAAGAGGAGAGAGCAAGCCATTGTAGTTCTATTGATACATATGGCTATCAGAGAACAAGCTTTAGGAGGGGGGGCACAGGGATGACATCATTGGTGTGCTTGCTCCTTCATTGTCCAATTAGCAGTGTGGGAAAAGAAAAGTGACTAAAGAGGCAGAACTTCAGTAGTTGCCCCATATCACATGGGTAAGTGCCATTATCATGATTTCTGGAGGGGTTACTGATCTATGCATATACTGTAACTGAGATAATAGTTTTAACAGATGGATTCCTCCTTATAGCATTGATTGTATAGTAATATAGTCCAGTTTATGTATTATCTTTAACACTTACATGCTTACAGTGCATTTAACAATTAGCATGAGATATTCTACATTTGATTTGTAAGACCGTTAGACTGCAGAATCAAACAAATTAAACTAATTATTTAAATGCAAAAATTAAATTGCAAATTATACTTTCATCCTCAAGAGAGTTGATGACATTACAGTTGCTAGAAGGGATTGAATGTGACCTAGATATGTCTGTTCTGAAACATACTTCTGATTCTACATGGAATTTAATTGAAGAAAGGACAGTATACAAAATATGTTAGCATTTAACTTATGCAGCAGAGACCAATAAAAAATAAAAACTTTATATTAACTCACTCTTTTCTTCAGTTTGTTGTTTGCTAATTTAATTGACATTCAGTTGTAACTGCGCGTCTCTATTGAACTATAATTCAACAGCAAGTATTTCCTGTCGCTTGAGAAAATATACCAAACTTTTACCATTATAGTTTTTATTGGCAGAAATCGCCTCCACCAGATCCTCCCCCACAGCTATCACCTTTTGTATCACCTCCCCTTCCTTTAGATTGTAAGCTCCATGAGCAGGGCCCCCCTGTTCTTCCTGTACTGAACTGTATTGTAATTATACTGTCCCCCCTATATATTGTAAAGCATTGTGTAAATTGCTGGGGCTATATAAATCCTGTATAATAATAATATCACACTTGCATACCCTTACATATGACTCAATCGATTAGGCTCCGTGTAGACTCTACTTTCTGGTTTTATTTGGTTCTTCTTGTCAGATCATTTTATTTCATCTTTCCCAGAGTGCCCCCAACCCCCTAAATATATATCATGTCTACTTGGCTTCTCTTTCTCCTGTTAACATCACTGCAGACAGCTCTTAAACCAGCCATACATGGATAGAAATATGGCCAGTTCAGCAGGGACCAGCCAAATTTTGATCCATGTGTGGGCAGGGAGGCTGTACAGAAGTCGATCTATCAATCATCTTCTGTACAACTGCCCTGTCAAATTTTCCCCACTGGATCAGTGCTGCAGGCTCTAGCCTGCAACACTGATCAGTGTATTATGGTGCAGTGAAAGTCTCCCCGCTGTCAGAATACAATAGCTTAGTTGGAATGATTTCCCCTTCCATATCAAGTGTGTCTGGGGGAATCGAGTCAGTTTTTTTTTTTTTCATTCAACCTGCTGAAAATAGACAAAACGTAGCATGCTTTGCCTCCACAGAGATGCACTTCAGGCACAAGATGGTGCTGTGCAAAATACAAAACTATAAAGTATGATTTGCAGCAGGAAAAAAAAAACACCCCAGGGATGCTGGGATCCTGAAAGTCATCTTCCCAAGCCAAGACTCCTATGCTGACAAAGAATTATTGTGGTTATTAGGAAAAGGGGGGTCATTTGCATATTAGAAGATACAAATGTATTTTAGGACATGATACAGGGCACAATTCACTAAAGGTTATCGCATGGATCAACTGTGGGTATACGATTATAACTTTTTTTTTTTTTTAATGGTTGAACTGGATGGACTTTTGTTATTTTTCAGCCAGACTAACTATGTAACTATGGGTTAAGTCAGTCACATGACCACATATTGCATACGATACTGAAAATGTCAATCCACAATTGCTAGTATGCGGTATTTACCGAAAATTTCAAAAACACACGGTAAATACCGCATAAAAAGACCTTAAAGTCAATTCACAAAAGGAAATAAATAATTGAATGTATGCGGTAATTAAGTAGTGGTCCAGGCATGTGGTATGTACTGGTATCTGTCAGTACTGTAATGGGTTGTTAAGGAATAGGTGGGTGCAGAGTCCTTAACAACCTATGAGCCATCAGCTGTCAGCAGGGTTTCCCACTGACAGCTGAATTTAAAAAAAAAAAAAAAAAAAATGCCAGCAATTAAAAAATAATTAAAAAAAAACGACTTGGGTTTCCCCCTCCATCCATACCAAGCCCTTCGGGTCTGGTATGGATTTTGAGGGGACCCCCCATGCCAACATTTTAAAAAACCATGTTGATGAGGACAAGGGCCTTTCCCCCAAAACCCTGGGCTGTGGTTGTGGGGGTCTGCAGGCGGGGGGCTTATTGGAATCTGGAAGCCCCCTTTAGCAAGGGGGCCCCCCCCGATCCCAGCCCCCCCCCCCATGTGATACGTGGCACTGCTTACCCATTCACAAAAAAAAAAAAAGTTTAGTGTGAAAAAAGACAGGAGACAGTCTTTTGACAAGTTCTTTATTAAAAAAAAGGAAAGAATAAAAGAATGTCCCATGAAGTAGATCCAATGTCACACACTATGCCCACTGCTGCCACTACCCCAAAAAAGAAAGAAAAAAAAAAGGCTCCGCTCTCGACGCTCTCAATTCACTAAGCGGTAAGGTACTGCATAGTGAATTGTGCCCACAGTCTTTGCACATAATTACAACATACTCGGCTAGGGTTCGTTTACACTTGCTTTGACTTCAACACACATTAAAACATAACACAAAGAAAATCAGCGAGCGCTAAGAAAATAGCAGCTAAATGCACCAAATAATGCACCAAAAAAAGGAACTACAAGTCCTCTCAGTACACATTAAAACACCTACTTCTTCAACATGCTTTTTTTATGTGTTTTTGATGCTTCTGTAATGCTTCAGTGGTGCTTTGATGATGCTTCGGTGGTGCTTCGATGATGCTTAGGTGGTGTTTTATTGAAGCTTTAGGCTTCATCCACGCTAGTGTTTTTTTTTTTTTTTTTTTTCTTTAAGCTCAAAAATGCTGGATAAAAAATGCTGGAAATAGTGGCTTTCAGTAGCATTTTATTAGCGTTTAGAAGCATTTAGGAGCATTAGTGTTTTATAAGCATTTTTACAGCACAAAAAAAGCTAGAAAAAAGCTGTTATAGTAGTGTTTAGGAGCATTTAGGGGCATATAGCATTTTTTTTCTGCTGGAAAACACTCCCAAAAACACTAAAAAACTATTTTTTTCTCTGCTCCTAAACACTGAAGCTTGAAAAATGCTACTAGCCTAAAATAGTGTGCATGAACACATAAGATAAAAATATTTAGCTTCTAGGAGTAGAAAAAACTGCTGATAACAGCTTCTAGAAGCTTAAAAAATGTGCATGGAGCCTGAGCCTGGGATCACACTGATGTGGTGCTGAACTTGCACTGGTTTCTGTGTGATTTCCGCAGCGCATCATAATCGCACCCGCTCATAAAAAACCACTGTGGGTGTGTATGTTAAGTTAACAACACCCCGAAATCAGTTTGCAAACGTGGTGCGATGTGCAGATTCGGTCCACACCAGAATGCGAGCCGATTCTGGTGCAGACTAAAAAGAGGGTCCTGCACTTTTTTAGCATGGATGTGGTGCGATTTGTATGTTGTTTGTGTGCGATTTGACAAAATGCATGGCTCAAATTGCATCACACAGAAATCGCATGTCATTTGCACAGGAATGCGGTACGGTTCCTGTGTAAATCACATGCAATGTGTCCTACCGCATCAGTGTGAACCCAGGCTTAATGAAGCTTGGCAGATTCCCTGCGAGTGTTGATATCTAACACCTGCAGTACTTACAAAACAAAGCGAAGCTAAAGCTGAATAAAAGCCTCTCAAAAGCTGCAGGTGTGTTGACATAAACTTCTATGGAGGCTTTGAAGATGCTTTGAAACACCTCTGAAGTGACATGGGGTATAATTTTTGTGTAAGCAGGACTGTAAGCTAACCATTGTATTTAGTGACAGGTGCTTTGATTATGTTGATTGAGTGC